GGGTTGCGTCTGGGACCAGAAATATTGGCTAGTGTCATTCACTTGCAAGTAGCTGGGAGCAGCTTACATGCCAGAGGCTGTGTGTGAACAGCCCATGAGTAGGGGTTCTCACAGCAGAGCAGGGTATGGCTGGCTCCCAGAGTCAAGGATTGGAGTCGCCTAGCAGATCACTGATCCAGACAACACCAGAGGGGAACATCACAGATGTTTATACAATATGATACATTTTAAAACCATTGTGGTTCCCCTGTCCTCAGGTAATAAGAGACAAAATGTGTCAAAATTTGGATTCTTGGCTCTCTGGCTCAGAACTACAAGGAATTCCCAAACAAAGTTTTCTGTGATGTCATCAAGTGTAGAGGTTTTTATAGGGGTTGTTTTATTTATTTTTTTTCATAGCAAGTGTTAAAAAGCTCACTGGAGAAGGAAGGGGAATATATAAAGGGAAAGCAGCAGCATAATAAAAGATTAAGGATTATTACATACAAAATGTATAGACAATAAGGTGACAAGCTTGTTATAAGTCTTAATTAAAATTTGTAAACCACTTTGCTATCCTCAGATGGAAAGCACGACAGAAGTGAATAATTATATTGTCCCCCTACTGGATGTTTTCTCTAACTATATCCTCTTTCCATTCAGATAGCTGAATAACAATGCTTGTGTGCCATCCTGCCAACCAAGTCAAGATTTTCTAGGGCCAGTAGAATTTGGGAGTGATTATCAAATTGTCAGGAAAAGAAAAGGCAACAGTACCTTATTCTATCCAGAGTACATGAAATTGGAGGGGGCATAGATCTGAACTCCAGCCCTCCATTATATTTAAAGGGGTAAATGTTTCCTTAATAGAATTGTGGTAGCTGAAGAATATGGGAGCATCTTGGTGTCCTCTTCCTAGCTAGTACCTCCCTTTCTTCAGCAATCAGGTAGTTCCTTGGGCTAGCATAGGGTCAAGATCCAGGTATAACACTTGACCACAGTTTGTGAAAATGAAATGAAAAGTGTTCTCATTACATATTAAGAGAAGGCTAGGAGGGGAAGAGGTGCTATTGTGCTTTTGCAAAAGATATTCAAATATTTTAACTATTAAAGGAGGAGTGAATTAAATGTATATTGTCAAACATCTTATAAAGATTTTAAAATAATAGAAGATGTCCTTCTCACAACAAAGACTAAGCAAACGACTTTTGAATGAAAAGACTTCAAACTTTGGACATAGATTGGTATGCCAAATGTGTAGTGAATTTCTACAACTCAGATCCAAACCTCTAGAAAAAAAGGGGAATATTATGATTTAATAATTATACTGAATAGGTACCGAGAGCCTCAATCAAATTGGGGTCCTTTTGTGTTTGACACTATCACCACATACAAAGACATGGTCCCTGCCTCAAAGCATTTGTAATCTAGACCCTCCACCTGCAAACACAGATGTCCTTAATTTTAATTTTTCTCCCAAAGGGGACATGTAAAATTAAGTACATAAATAACTGTTTGCAGGATCAGAATCTTTGGCCACAAAGTCTACACTTAAGGCTTGTCTTCACTACGGAGGTAAATTGACCTAAATTATGCTACTCCAGCTATGTGAATAAACGTATAAATAGACGCTCTCCGGTCGACTTCCCTTACTCTTCTTGGAGAGCTGCAGTACCAGGGTTGACCAGAGAGTGCTCTGCCATCAATTTAGTGGGTCTTCACTAGACCTGTTAAATTGATCCCTGCTGCATCTATTGCCAGCCCAGAGTAGTACAGGATCTGGACCTAAGAAAACAAGTGACATACAAAAAGTGGGGGAGGAGATTATCAAACATATACAATTATATACATTTGCGGCTTGATTCTCTGCCTGGTCTCAATGGAGAAGGAAGGCTTTCAGGGAGCCATTCCCAGCTCTCTGATTCTCAGCTGCAGATGCCATGAGGTTCTTCCGGTACCTTAAGCCAGAGGACAATTAGACATAGTGGAGCTTTTGCTTATCATGCCCCCTCTCATTTCCTCTCCTACTATGCCTGCCCTGTTCCCTTACACTGGGAGATGGTTCTGGTGTAGGAGGCAGCAGAACCATCACCAGTTTTATCCCAGCAGTAATGCACCATGAAGAGGGGGAATTTCCCAAAGGGAATCTCCAGGACCTTTAGGTTCTCTTTATGCTGTATAAGTGTATGCAGCACAGAATGATATTGGGGGACTGGAGAATCTGGCTCTTGAAATTATAAATAAATAAAATAAAGTGAATTCAGCTATTCCCATCTGCTCCTCAACTAGGCTTTATTAATTGGCTAATTCCCTATAGGTGTTGCAGAAGAGGTGTGTCTGGAGGAAGGATTGAAGGAAGACATGATGGAGCTTTTTACAGAAGCTTAACTTGTAGGGGAGTGCTTGTTTTTGCTGAAAAATCGAAAGAGACGTATTTTAATACCTCTAGAAAGATATTTTGTGCTCAAGCAAGTATACTGAACACTTTGGCATAAATATGCCAAAAACTTGTGATTAGTAACAGTAAAATTATTCTTCGAGAAACTTCAGGTAGCATGAAAATATAGTTGCAAAATCTCAAAATCAGTGTTTAAATTTATGCAGCTAAGATATTACATGGTTTGCCAGCAGATGGCATATTATCTTCTTATATCACAGTAGGAAATATTCTCATTATCCTCACAATAGAAAAACTAGTAGAAAATAATTTGAATTTCCCACACATAAAAATGCTTATTTTACACATAGCCTTGTACTGCCTGTTATATGATTTTTATTTTTTATATTTTTGTGTTTTATAATCTCATTAAAATGAAATTTTGTCTCTCTCAACTGTCTCAAACGTGATTATATTTATAAAAGTTATATTTAGGTATATTGTCAGTATTTTTTGCATCTGTGTTTAACAGGTTTAAAATGATTGATTTTGTGTAAAGGTCTCTGAAATGTTAAAGCACAGAACAATCTTACAGCAACTGAAAAACCTTCCAGCTGTTCACAAAATAAAATCTACAAATCTCTCTCTCCTGTGGGAGAAAAGCTATCTACTGGATAACAGTTCCCTCTGCTTACACAAGCAGAAAACTCCATTTAACCCTAAGAAAAGGGTATATTTAGAGATGATTAATTATCATCCTAGGTCCCAGTTTGGGCCATCGGAAATGTTGCATACTGATGTATGGGCTATTACATCTTCTAGAAATGTACATTAAAACAGCAAAATATTTTATTAGCTAAAGGGACTCAATCATACATTCAAAAAAAAACAAACAAAAAAATCATATAGACTCTCCATTCCATATAAAAGAATTCTGTATGGATTCACCCCTTTTAAAATTTTGCTAGATGTTTAAGGGTTCATTAAAATTAGAGTTATTTTAGGAGCTATATAATAGTTGTTCATTTGAGACCCCACAGAAAAATCAATATGAACTCAGTCCTGCAGCCCTCGGAGGCAAAACTTCCATTAAATTAAATGAGTTTTGCCTGCATAACAAGTACAGAATTGAACCCACTCTGAGATGCAGCTTTGTCCCTTTATCAGAGGCTCCTTTATTTTGAATACATTGCAAGGCAGTTTTTAAAATATATCTTAAGATTTTTCAATATATGTTCCAATAAGACATTTAGTCTATTACAGCTTCCACAAATCTGGAAATATTTTTCTCTTTATATGATTATTGTTTTATACATCATATCTGAGTACTTAAAACTTTCTTTCACTAACATGCACTAAAAATAAATTCTGAATGTGTATGATCTCTAAATTTGTAACCTGCTGTCTTACACTATTGATGCACATTACTTGTATCCCTATTACACTGACCCTAAATATAACACATGCTTTCTTTGGCCCCATTACTGCAAAGTTTTATGCTCAAGTATGCCAATTAAAGTTATTGGTACTAATCATGTGCATAAAGTTAAGCCCCTGCATAAATCTTTTTAGGATCAGGGTCTTAGAATGTAAGCTCTTGAGGCAGGGAGCCTGTATCTGTCTGAATTTGCACAATAGGCCCCTAATCTTGACTGGGACTTCTGAGGTGCTGCTGTGATATAAGCAGCAAATAATAATTTTACATGACCTTCAGTGATTCTAAGGATTTTTCTCTAGCCCCAATCCTGCAAACAGATGAGCTGGTAAGGTGCCTCATGCTTGTGTGTGGTCTCATTGACTGCAGTGTGTTCCTGTCATTTCAATGTGTCTTCAGGTGAAGGTGAGGGTCTGCATCAGTGTGGCTGTTTGCAGGTTCAGGGTTTATATGAATATAGCACTGGAATACAGCCACCCCAGGGATGGTGAAACATCACCTTAACAACAGTGGAAACCTTAAGCGGTGGCTGAAAATAGTGAGACAAAACACTTCACTTGTATGAGAAGTACCACAAGACTTTTGATGCCCACATAAAGCAGGCAGGGCTTTGACGTTGAGTCTCACCTGAAAGATACACACAAAACGTTATACCAGACTTCTCTCTCACAGGTGGAAGAAGGGGTCAGTTGCCCCTACTAGAAGGCAAAGGAGTCGTTAGGAAAGCCCAGGTTTTTCAGACTCCATGATTGAGCCAGCCCTCCCAACTGTTCAGGAAAACTTACAGCCCCAAGGCGCGGGGAGGGGGGGGGGGAGAACAAGGGAGGAATATCCGCCACTGCCCCCGTGCAAGGCTCGTCTCCCAAGCCAAGCAGGGCTGAGAACTCTGCAAAGCAGCCAGTCCTGTCCATCCCCGGCGGACCTCTGCGCGTGAAACACTTAATTCCTCCCCCACCCATGACAGCGCCACGCGGCGGAAGCAGGGCTGCTCCCTGGGAGGAGAGGGGGCGAGGGCAATGCCGGCCGGGCTCGCACACGCGTGGCGAAGGCGGCAGCAGCGCGCCGGCCAAACTGCCACTCACACGCGGTGATGAGCGCGGCTGGGCACAGATTGCGCGGCGGGAGCGCCCGCGGCCCAGGCAGGCAGAAGGCAGAGTCCCCCGGCAGCTGCGCAGCGGGGCCGCTGGGGGTGCTGTGGGGCAGGGGCGTTCCCCCAAGGAGGCGAGGGGCGCAGCCCGGCCCCCGTAGGCTGGGAAGGAGGCAGACTGCTCCCGTTGCCTTCCGTTCATCTGTGCCCCGCCTCTTCACTGTGCCTCGCGCTCCGATCCGGAGCTGGGCGGGGCTGTTTCCTGAGGCAGGAGACCCCCCCACCCCTCGCAGCAGCGCGGCTGTTCCCTGTACTAGCCTCCCCTCCCCTCCCGCCTCAGGCGGGCTGTTCCCTGAACCAGGCGCTCCCCCTGGCGGGAGGGGCGGGGGCAAGGACTGTCCCGGCCGGCGCTGATCTTAGGCTTCCATTGGCCGCTGTCTGCGCTGACGTCACGATCATGATGAGAATTAATGATCGGAGGCGCTGATTTCATTGTGTGACGCCGGGACCGACCCAGCCGAAACCGGCTGAATCCGGAGCCCCCCGGACCAACTCCGCCCGCCCCACAGAGCACGGTAAGTCCGGCACTGTGCGCAGGGGGCGGGGTATGTGTGTGAGCCCCCACGGAGGGAGGGGAAGCGCCGAAGCGCACAGCCTGGGCGGGCAGGGCAGCCAGTTCTGGCTGGGGCTGGGGAAGATGCCCCTTGGCCGGGGGCCTGGATGTGGGGGAGGGCGGCCGCTTGGGCTGGTGCTCGTAGAGCAAACTCAGGCACGCATGCGCACTACGACTCGGTTCTGCTGCGGCAGACGCTGGCTAGCCCCATCCGCCGTTGCGAAGGAAGTACGCATGCGTACGACCGATGTATTCTCGTATGGGCTGACAGTTGCGCATGCTCTGAGGTTGTTGAGCACTGCTGGACTGACTGCGCATGCGTATTCACGTTCGCTTGAGTGATTTCTGACTTTAACCGGCCGGAGTGCGAGGCACTGATTGCAACTCCGCGCACGTTACTACGTCCTAGTAGCTGGGCCATGGGCGTTTGCACAATGAAGGCGTCTTTAAGCCGTTGGAAATTTTTGCGCATGCGCAATGAGGGCCACTTGTGTTGCCTTGTAGTGGGCTGTTAGGACTCACCGACGCTGTTTTCTACCTGTAATCGTCTAATGTCAGGGCAGGGTGCGTGGGCTGGGATCGGGGGTGTCCATCCTGCCTGGATCCCCTTTTCTGGCTTGGCTGTATAAACAGTCACTGCTGGTAGCATGGCAGCCTAGGCAGTGGGTGCAGCTGTGTACAAGCCCCGTGGGGCCATGCAGTGGGGATGATGGGGGTGGCAAGAGAATAATTTGAAGCTCATTCTCCCTTGTCTTGTGGTGAGAGGGTGTTGTGTGCTCTCTTTGAGGTGTAAGAGAGCACCTGCAGAAGGTGGGGTGATGGTGGAGAGATTGGGCAAATAAAATTGCTCCAATTGCTGCTGTTGTGACATTTTAGCCCTTGGGTGTTTGTTGGTGAAGGGAGATGGTGGGTGGCATGCAGGTTTTCCAGCCTGTGTTTTGAGGTGCTGATGGTGTGACCCTTGGTTTAGGAGCATCAATATGCAGTGGATAAAGAAAATTGCTTTATGCTGCATCCTAGAAGCCTGAGATATGTCACCCTGTTTAATAAGGCCCTTGATACTGTAATGTATTAAGAATATGCACAATTTCGATAAGGAATCGAGTGACCACCTGGGGAGTTATTACTGTATAACTATGCTTGTAACATTCCCTGTGCAGATGAGCTGTGAAATGTCTGAGTACTGTATTTGCTTCAGAAGGAGTACTTGTGTGTCATGGATATGTTCAAATTGTTGCAAGATGCAATACCTAAAGAAATACCTGTTTTGTCAACTTTAAAATGTTTTGATCAGTTTTGCCAACACTTTGTTGCAGAAGCTGAATGTCAATCTTTATATTTATTAGTGTTTCTAAATGAAGATCCTGTTTTGTGGCTCTTAGCAGTTAGCACACTCAGACTCTTAAAAGGTTTATAGCACTATCTTCCCATATGCTCCTTTAAATTATTTACAAATAGTGTTAATCCTGCAGATAGAGTAAACTAAGAACCGATTACTTTTTGTTTTGCACATAAGTACAACCACTATTTTGAGTAATGAGTAAAGTAAGAACGGCCATGTTGGATCAGACCAATGATCCATCTAGTTCAGTATCGTGTCTTCCAACAGTGGCCAATACCAGGTGCTTCCGAGAGCATGAACAGAACAGGCAATCATCAAGTGATCCATCCCCTATTATCCAATCCCAGCTTCTGGCAGTCAGAGGCTAGGGACACTCAAAGTATGGGGTTGCATCTCTAACCATCTTGGCTAATAGCTATTGAGGAACCTATCCTCCATGAACTTATCTAATTCTTTTGTGAACCCTATTATAGTTTTGGCCTTTACAACATACCCTGGCAACGAGTGCCATGGTTGACTCTGGGTTGTGGGAAGAAATACTTACTTCCTTTTGTTTGTTTTAGACTTGCTGCCTATTAATTTCACTGGGTGACCCTGATTCTTGTGTTATATGAAGGAGTAAATAACACTTATTCACTTTCTCCACACCATTCATGATTGACTTGGATTTATCATGTAGGCCCTGATCCTGCTAAGATTTAAGCATGTACGTAGCTTGGATACGCCTAGTGGACATAACGGGACTACTCATGCTTAAACTTAAGCATTTGCCTAAGTGTCTGCAGGATACTTCTTGCTACAGTATTTTTTTTTGCATTTCTCTCAGATTGGAAATGAAATCAGGCTAGTCTACCATGAGAACTTTCTGACTTCTGGTAGTATTATTCAAAACAGTTTTCATGGAAAAAATTCTGTTGGTATCTACATTTAGTAAATTGTCTCTTAGATCTTTTTATAAAACTGAAATTTTAGGCAGACCTTTTCTGATGGTGACCTTTTAAAATAACCTACACCTTTGGAGCAATTGTAGTTAATTATTCCTTGCTTGTTTGGCGTATCGTAGTTTTATGAAGTAGGCAACGATGGTGCAAACTTATGCACAAGCTTAACTTTAAGCAGGTGACTAATCCAGTTGATGTCATTAGAACTTTCATGAGTAAAGTTAAGCACATGCATAAGTGTTAGCAGGATTGGGGCCAGCTCTAGTTGGATCCACACATGCTCAGCTTTGATAAAGGATTGAGTTCTAAAAGCTAAAATGCTGGTAGTTCAGTGACTGTAGCCTATTACACAGTGAGTACTTTAGGTAGTGAAAAAGGATGTTTCTATACTCCTAGTCAATATACAGTAAAAGCTGTTTTAGTGGCATGTTGGGGAAATGACAGGTGCCGGTAAATGAAAAATGCTGGTTAACTAAGAGAGAGGGAGTTTGGGTGTGGAGCTGGGGGTTGCAGCACAGGAGGGTGTGCAAGATGAGGGGCTCGGGACAGCAGGTTGGGGCGCAGGAGGGGGAGCTGAGTGCCGGATCTGGGAGGTGCTCACTTTGGGTGACTTCCCGCATGCAGCGACCTGTCTCGGCTGCTCCTAGGCGGAGGCGCACGCTGTCTCCGCCTGTAGGTGCCACCCCCAGCCAATGGGAGCTGCAGAGCTAGTGCCTGGGGTGGGGACAGCGCACAGAGCCGCCTCCGCCTAGAACAGGGGTGGGAAGATGTATGGAGGGCCGGCAGGGGTTGTGGCACACAGGGAGGATGAGCGTTCCGGCTGCGGGTGCAGACTCTGGAGTGGGGCTGGGGATGAGGGGTTTGGGGTGCAGGAGAGTGCTCCGGTCTGGGATCAAAGGGTATGGAGGGCGATCAAGGCTGGGGCAGGCAGTTGGGGCGTGGCTCAGGGGTGCAGGATCCAGGCAGCCCTTACCTGAAGTGGTTCCTGGAAACAGCGTCCCGGCTCCGGCTCCCATGCCAATGGGAGCTGCAGAACTGGCGCCTGGGGTGGGGGCAGAATGAGGAGTCCCCTGGCTGCCCCTGCTTCCGGGAGCCGCATCGAGCTGCTGCATGAGCGGAGCAAGGCAAGCCCCCAGCCCCGCTCCCCGGCTGGAGCACCGGAGCGGGGAAAGCTCCCAACCCCGCTCCTCAGCAGGAGCGAGAGGGCCATATTAAAAGGTCCAACGGGCCGGATGTGGCCTGCGGGCCATAGTTTGGCCACCCCTGGCTTAGGAGCAGCCAGGACAGGTCGCCGCTTGTGGGGAGCCACCTGAGGTGAGCGTCCCCCTTATCTGGCACTCCCTCCTGCACCTGAACCTGCTGCCCCAAGCCCCCTCCCGCACCCAAACTCCCTCCCAGAACCCATGCCCTGCACCCTCTCCTCCACCCCAACTTCCTGCTGGCCAACCGGACTATAAATCGGAATTTCAATGAAGATCAGAAATGCCAATTTATAGAGCTTTCCAGTTGGTGAAATGCCAGATAAAACAGCTTTTACTGTAGTTAAAAGCAACAGTATCAAATCAATTAGAATACCACATGTTAGTTTCTAGTTATTTGGAGTTGTGATTATTATAGATAACTGCTGCCCCTCCTTTATGTAACGCATAGAATATATAATATTCAGGGGCTATTGAACGTTATTGTAAGTTTGGTCCCGTGTATGCTTGCATACAGACTGTGTCCCCTGTTGTTTTTTTTTTTTTTTAACTGATTTTATGGCAAACGTAGAACAGAAAACTTTTGAACTGTTGACTGGGAATTGAAAGGGAAGCGAATGAATATAATTTTAAAATGCAGGGCTCTAATTCTATGGCTGATACTAAGCATCTGTACTGGCAATTTATTTTGTCTGTGTATGTATCTTTAAATACATTTTACTGATTGCAATTGTCTCATTTTTAGTTTTTTTTATCAGACTCTTTGGAGATTAGTATCACTTCTGGAAATCTGCATTGTCAAAAGCAGAGCATAAAGAGTGACATTGTATCTACTGTATCTGCTTTGTGTATCCAGACTATAATAAATATGAGGGAATACTTTCAGGCCAGTATGGCATGTGAAAAGATAAATTGTAATAAAGAAAGAAGAATTCTGTGGGGTTAAGGTTAACCTGTTAAAATGTATGGAGTAATGGCAGGGAATGAGTACTGTACTTCAAGCCCTGATGCTTCCATTATGTCCATTAATGGTAGCACTCTCTTTTCTTGACTATCAACACACTAACTTAACTTGTGTTTTCTTTTTAAATTATGATTTCTTTGTTTAAGACTATAGAAGCTCCTAGCAGCTCCATAGTTAAGGTTGTGTTGAGTTTTGCACTGAAGTGTATATTCTTTTAAATATAATTGATTTCTCATAATCTGATCGGACTATTTGAAGAAAGACAAACTTTAATTTTTTAGGCATTTTTTTCAAACTCTGAGCTTTCAGTGTGTTTATCCTAAAAGGCTTAACATTTTTAAAACCATCTAGAGATCTTAATGCTTAGGGCTCCTATAACATCCCAATCTCAAAAGTCAGAAACTTGAAATTACACACAAGGCTACATAGTTGAAAAACTGAATTCCATTTAAATTCTGGGGGGAAAAAACAGCCACCTTAAAATACAGTCATTTGACTGCTTTGTAGTAACTGATT